CTGCGAAGGAAAGAGCTGCCAGAGCCCCAAGAGGGAGAGCTGACTACTAACTTTTTCATGGAATTCCCATAGTTGAATTTCAGATCCATTTCCCAGAAAGCCTCAGCTCTGTTACTGGAATGCCCAGTCCTTCAATTGGGATGCTGTTTCCCGACGTCAGCTCTGACCCTCAGCCTCCACCTCAGAAGCCTTGGTCTGGGTCCACCAGGGTTTTACGTGTGGAGCTAAATGGAAGATGCTACTCTGGGGGAACTCAATTTTCCACTGTCTTGCCTGGTCCATGCTAGCCTTTGAAGAGAGAAAAAAAATATCTCTGAAATGAGGGCTTGAGGGAGTAGCTGCTGACATCCTGACTGGTGCATCTTCATTGTCTTTGACTTGCCCTCATTTCTCTCCCTCTGAGTTTTGAAGAACAGAAAGTTTGGAACAGCCCTCAGGAGTTGATTCTTTAATCTCTATGGAATGCAGATGCCAGGTGAAAATGAATCAAAAAGGGCAGCAAGCACAGTGCTTCAAGCCCAGCTCTGCAGCACAGTCTCTCCTCCGTGCCAGCACTGAAGCTTTGGCATCCCCTCTCTTCCTATGTTTCTGTGCCAGGAAAAGCAGCCCACCACCTGATCAGTGGAGGAAAGGAATGCAGAGCTCAGGCAGTCCCGACTGCCAGCAAGACAGCTTGTGCCTCACAGGGGGCCGGAAGGGGGACTTGGAGATCATGTGGGGATTTCAGGAAAGAACATTCTCCAGGCATTGTGAGACACTGGGCAAGCACAGCCGCAGCGGAGTGCGTGTCCGGGAGCCCCACACCAGATGCCCACCAGCACCCCAGATAGCTGGTTGCTGTAGGAAATTCCACTTTCCTATTTCAAAGACTGAGAGGCCCTTTTTCACAGACAGGAGAAAAATCCAGCCCAGCTTTCATGCTTACTCATCAAGGGCAGAAAGAATAAATAGATTGGCTTTTAGTCACAGCTGAATCCTAGGTGGAAGGCCCACGTTTAGCCCCAAGAGGTTTATATCCTGCTCCACCTGGACTTCACCCATAACAACAGGCAAACATCTGAATACCAAGCTTGAGCCCAAGCCTGTGGTAGCTCCCAGTGTCCTTGCAAGGCATGGGCACAGCTCCAGAAATCATTGCCTGCAGTGGAGGTTTGGAATAGTGGTCTGCCTGGCCCGGATGTTTGGCTGTTGTCCCCAGTTCCCCAGCGCTGAAGATAGAAACTCCATTTTTTGGTAACAGTTTTACTGAGATAAAATTCATATACAAGTCATTCCTTTAAAGTGTATACTTCGGTTGTTTTAGTCTATTCACAGAATTGTGCAACCGTCATCAGTCAATCTTAGAACATTTTAATTTTTGAAAGATTTTTTTTAATATTAAATTTTATTTAGTTACTTTTCAAGTACATTTTTTTTATCTATTTCTCCCATCCCACCCCCCCCCCCGGTCTCCCCCCTCTCTCCCATTCCCCCCCCAGTCCTCATCTCTGTGTCATTCATACTTGTTCCTCAAAATCCCTCCCCCTTTTTCCCCTTAAGTTCCCTTCCCTCTCCCCTCTGGTCGCTGCCCACTTGTTCTCTATTTCAGTGTCTTTGTTTTTATTCTGTTTGCTTGTTTGTTTTATTCTTTAGCTTCCTGTCAAAGGTGAGATCATATGGTATTTGTCCTTCAATGCCTGGCCTATTTCACTCAGCATAATGCTTTGGAAAGGAGGGAGAAAGAAATATCAGTATGTGAGAGAAACATCAATCGGTTGCTTTTTCTGCATGTCCCCAACTGGGGGCCTGGCCTGCAACCCAGGCATGTGTGCCCTGACAAGGAATCGAGCCAGCAATTTTTTGGTTTGCAGGCTGGCACTCAATCCACTGAGCCACACTGGCCAGGGCAGTCAAAGAACATTTTAATCACTCAAAGGAATCTATGTTCCCATCAGCAATCTATTCCTCTTTTTCCCTCAGCCCTTGGAAATCACCAATCTTTCCATCTGTAGAGATTTACCAATTAATTGCATAAAAGTAGAAGGCATGCCTTTCTGCCACATCTCTGTGGCAAAGGCAGAGTCAGATTCCCAGGGGATGGTCTTTCTCTGCTGTCCCCCAGATATGAACTTGGTGTTCGAAGTATCTATCAGAGGTTGTTGCTGCTGTTTGGATCAAATTTCAACATCTTTGACAAAGAATCTCTTAGCGGCTTTACTCTTCAGCATTGTTGTAAAATTGGAGTGATGGTAAAACTTCTGTCCATTTTTATTCATTTTCCAGGTAGCAGAAGGTCAGGAAATTTGTGTGATTGAAGCCATGAAAATGCAGAACAGTATGACAGCTGGGAAAACTGGCAAGGTACGTCCCTAAGTTCCCACCAGCCCATGCCAGCTCTGTGGCAGGAAGCAGAATTTCCACCTTTGAATCTCAGATGGTTAGACCTAAAAAGGGTCATAGACATGATCTCCTCCTACCTCTCCCTCCTGCAGATGGGGACAGGAAGATTGGGAGCTCTTTTCACCCCACACTGGTGTGCCCCGCCTCATGCACAGGAGGCTTTCCAAAAGACTCTCTATAGTCAGGTAGTGAAAGAATAATTGTTCTTTACCTTAATGGCTTTCAAATTAAGAGGTCTTTAATTTTTAATGTTTACATCTGTCTTAGAGGCAGTTAGTTATCTGAGACTTAGGTGACACAGCAGGCAATGGTTTTAGAGATTGCAAAAATTAATGTAACTCTTCAAGATAATTTCTCCACAAAGAGAACAGTTCAATTTTAGATCAAGAGGAGCTGAAAGCCCCACAAACACATGTGGGACTTAATGATTTAGGGAGAAAAAAAGATGATGTATTAGTACTGAAATTTATTAAAACTTCTTAAATGTATTTTCTCCTTGAAGAAAACAGAAAAATCCTTTAAAGCCATAACTCCATTATCCTTTTGCAACAAAAAAAAAAGAGACCATTTGTAGCAGAATGACCCTTTCCTGAAGGACTTTTTGGTTTAAAAGTCTGGAGTAAGGCGAGGCAGGGCGGAGTGAGGAAAGCAGCACAGGCTGGCCACGTCCCACACCGAGGCCAGATTGGGAAAGTGAGATTGAACCTTGGAAATGATGTATGCCCTGGCAGAGAGGTACAATCAGTTCTCAGTGAAATATGCATCAGAGAGACACAGCTTCAGTCACCCCCAAAAAGAAATGAGACTGATTCTCAGAGAACATGCTGAGGGGGATACTCAGTCCAGTTCAAGCTGGGAGGATGAAGGTCAAGCTGGAGAGGGGCTGCAGACAGCTGTATCCAGTCTCCATGGGTTTGGAAGAGGACAAGTGCAAGGGCTGTAGGTATTTTTAGGAGTTTGCTTTCTACATGATTACTTTTTATAAGATGAACAAGAAAATGTTGGCTTCTGCTCTTGTAAAAGTGTTAATTTGTTCCTTATTTTTAACACTGACACTACATTAGCGTCATGAGTGTTCCATTCATAATTTGGCTTCATTTGAGGGCATGCGGAATATATGTCAGATGTATGTCAAAGGCCTGTATTGCTAGACTGAGGTACTTAACGCAAAAATGAACTGGCATAGCTCTCTTAAGGAGCAGGGGGCCCGTGTAGGTCAGTGTGTTTTATGTCCTCATGGCCTGGGTTTCACAGCGAAGGATTAGCTGCTCCCTGGTCATCAGGAGCCCAGAACTGCCTTCGGGGTGTTAATGTACTCTGAGTAAATCTGTACTGTGGCCTGACCCCCTATTACCTGGAGTAGTCCTCTCTGCTCATCCTATTTCCTCCTACTGGCCAGCAGGGTGTACCAGGAATGGCCAGAGCCCCAGCCCAGAGGACCAGGCCCTGGGGACCTGAGGGGCTGGTGGTTCTTATCTGGGAGGGCCATGTTTCCTCCCATTAGGGAGGAAAAGGTTCACAATGTAATCACAGCATCATGAAAAATACATCCTATATACACACAGAGGCTTCAGATCATAAAAAGCAGCCACTTCAGTGCAAATAGCACCTGCTGAACAAGACCTTTGAACTACTCTTTGCACAGGTTCGCATCGACCTGAGAGAACCTGGGCTGGAATTCAAGGGGAAGGCCCTTCGAGTCCTCTGGCTGATAGTGGAGCTGCAGGAACACAGGCCAGGGCACCAAACCTGCTGTTGCTGCCATTGTTCCTCTTTTCTACTTACTAATTCAAACCCATTGCTCATTTTCTCACTTAAGCAAGAAACCCCAAGATGTCAAATGACTATCTCTTCCCCGTTCTAACCCCCTACCCACTTATTTTAAATTTGAACACAATTTGGGAAAACAAACCTGATTAAAACTGGGAGAGAGGAATAGAATGAAAGGGCACAATAGCAACATCACAGGAGCTTAGTCCTTGTTCCACATCACGCCACAAAGTACTATCTGTGCAGCCATGCAGCTTCTGAGTATTTAAATTTCCCTTGAGAAGGATGTTTACAATCAGGCTAGGGTGTTTCTCTTATTAATTAGTACCTGCTTTGACTCTTGTATAAGTGTGTTTTGTTTTGGGGTTTTTTTACACTAAGCATTCCATTAACTCTCAGAGAACATTTTTTCAACCTAAAACCACAGAGATTGGGCAGGCTGGGTACTGTGAGCTTATCCAGGACCAACACTGGCTCTTAGGATGCTGCCCTTGACCCCTGTGTGTGCCCAGTGCAAGGGCCGGCCAGCAGAAATTGCCTTCCACCAGTGACTTTTAGGACAAGGACGGGAGTGGGGACGATGCTGAGTCACAGCCCTGCACGAGGACATCCCCTGTGCATGAGGTCCCCTCTGTGCAAGCCAAGTGCTCTACCTGTGCTCCAGAGCCTGCCAGGCTGTCTCTTCACTTCCAGAAACAGATGACGAGATTGCTCCCTCCTGTTCTAGTTAATAATTCTTACTTCCCCTCCCCCCCGTTTTTAATTCAAGGTGAAATCGGTGCATTGTAAAGCTGGGGACACAGTTGGAGAAGGAGATCTGCTCATGGAACTGCAATGAAGTATTTATAGCCTTTCAGTCATCACCCAGTTTTATTAGTCATTTGTATTATTATTCTTTCACACTCAATTTATCCAAGCATTTTGCAGGAACACCCCTGTGCAGCAGATTTTACATGGTCATATTTATTCCATATATAGTCAAAACCAACATTCTGCCAAAAAATCACCAATGGAAATTTTTATTGATATAAATACTTGTACATATGATTTGTACTTCTGCTGTGAGATTTCCTAGTGTCAAAGTTAAATCAATAAAACTGAGCATTTGTCTAAATATTAGTTTGCCCTTTTTTTTCTTTTTTGAATGAAGACAATGTACCTCAGAGGCTATGGGCTTTGCCAGTAGACTTTACATAATAGCATTTCACTGTAATCCTTGAAAAATTTTATATAAATCCCAGCTCTTTGCCTTCAGTTTTATTAAATTAGCATTTGCTACCTCATAATCTGATTACCTACTTCATCCTGGTTGACACCTAACTCCTGTTTGTGGTTATTAGTTACTTCTTAAGTCCATATAACACAGATGATTTTGGAAATCCTTCCTCTGTGGCTCAAATGGGTAAGAATGGATCTGTTGGATCCCTGGACGGTGTCACCTTAGGGAGAGATGACTCACATGATCCCCTCTTTCCCATCCCACAGGACTCCCTCACCCCAATTGTAGTGGGTGAGGCTGCTACAAGCTCATCAGCTGATACCCATCCTTGCCTTGTATGTTTGTGAAGCAAGTTTCCAATTAAGACAAAAGGGTTAAGTCCTGGCTGGTGTAGCTCAGTGGATTGAGAGCAGGCCTGCGAACCAAAGGATCATGGTTCGATTCCCAATCAGGGCACATGCCTGGGTTGCAGGCCAGTTCCCAGCAGGGGACACATGGGAGGCAACCATACACTGATACAACCATAGATTGATATTTCTCTCCCTCTTTCCTTCCCCTCTAAAATAAATAAAATCTTTAAAAAAAGACGATCTTCTTTAAAAAAAAAAAAAGGGCTAAAATAATGATGTTTTTTTGTACTAGATACAGTTAGTGATCACAGTCTACTATTAAGCTGAAGAGAGTAAGTGAGTGCTCCCAGTGGAGAATGAGGTTACCAAGGATCAGCAGCTGCATTTTCATTTGGTTCTGAAATTCCTAGAATACATTTCATACTTTGCTAGTAAATAAGCAGAGGCAGTCATGCACTGACTTGAATCTACACTGACAGATCATCAGATGGAAGTGGGTAGTAATTGGTTCTTTGTGCCTTGCTAAAATTATTATTTTTTAGACTAAAATTATTTTCAGTGCTGTTTGTATAAGGAAGCTAAGCTTTCTGTCAGGCCTGAAGAACAAAATACTAATGCGCTGGTTGTCTCCAAAAAGGTCACCCCAAATGCCACTCCCTTTGGGAAGGAGGGACAGTGCCTTGCTGGGCTCTGGGCTTGGGTGAGCTTCTTCTATCTGAAATCAACTGTGTCTGCCAGCAAGTAAGCGCTCATTATTTTGCTAAATTAGAACGAAAAAAGCATTCTACCAAATACACTGGCCCAGGAAAAGGGCCCAAAATAGCATCAACACTTTATTTGACTTACTAAAATATCTAGCTTAATTTTAAATTATTATCTTTAATAATCTCTTTTTTAATAAGCTTGATCTGAAAACTGTGAAGAACAATGTTATATCTATTCCAAAACTACTCTAAAATACATCATATTTTTCTTGAGTTTCTTTTATTACATTGAGACATCCAAGATCAGAGTAAAAAATTTACTGACTCTGACCTGTAGCACCAATAAAAAAAGAGTAGGGCTGCTAAGATCTATCTGCAACACAAACTCTTTACATTCATTTGAAATGTTTTCTTCAGATTTTAGCAAAGCAAAAAAAGAAAGAAAACTATGATAACACATGAGTTCTTGAAATGTCATTTAGGGGAATTAAAACCCTAAATTTTTCTTATCCAATCCATTCAAACCCATGGTGCTCTTTAGGCATCGAGCAATAAAGCAGTATCTGATAAGAGAGATTTCGGGCACAATGTTGTTATCAGTATGTCAAAATTATCTGGGAAACTGGCTGTCACTAAAAAAGAGATCATTTCTTTTTCCACAGATAGAGTTTTTACACATATTTGTTTCAAAGAGAATTATAATGCTTTTTTCATTCAGTAAGTGCAGACCAAGCTGAGGTAATCTCATAACCATCAGGGCTGTGTCTTTTCTTTGGCTGCTGAGCGTTCCTCGAATTTCTATCTGTTTTCCCGTGGATTATAGCGAAGCCCGTGTGTCCCCTGAGAGTCGTAACTGTTGTGGTATGGGAGGTGGACCCACTCTGGTGGGTAGGTGGCTGTGCTGTACACAAAGCACTGCAGGGTCCTTTTAGCAGCTGGAGACTCCTTAGGGGCGCTGTGCATGCCTTCCCACTCCAGCACCGCAATCCTCACCTGGGTGCGTTGATAAGTGTCTGGGCAGCCTTCAAACTCATCAAGAAAGTGCAGCATCTGCTTGTCCACACTATAGATCTCCCCAACCACGCAGTGGCCATGCCCGGGAAGGTTCAGCAGATGAGGAATGTTATGTTCTCCAGCAATCACTAAGGGGTAAGGCTCCACCGTGTGGCCTCGGCCCTGGAAGGTTGCGCGGCCGTTAGTGCCATCCAGCAGGACATTATGATTGGGCTGGCCTCGCTTCAGGGTTCCGTACACAAATACATCGGCCATGTCGTCCAGAGATGCTGCAAAGGAGAAAGGAAGCAGATTGGTAGATCTACGTGCTACAGAAACAGGTAAGAGGTCTGGTCTCAGTTGGAGTTGGGACCTTGTCTGGGAAGGACCAGAGAGTAAATCTTTCAGTTTCATGCTCAAGCAGCTGCTGCTAACCCCCAGCACAACCCAGCACTGCTCTTCACTAACATGCGGTGGGGTCTGAGGTTCCAGGAAATACCACCCACCCTTTATAATCACTTTCGGAGGAAAGGTGCTCAATTGAGAATATACTTGCCAGATGGAGAACTGTTTTTCAAAGCAGGTTTCAATCTTTTTAAAAGGACTTAAAAAATTACATAATAAATATTTATTGTACAAAAATAGAATGATAAGCAAATATAAATGTGCGTGTATAAAAAAGTCATTTGTAATGGGCGACAAGAGATAATTCAGGTTTCAGTACTAAATTTACATCCTAGTTCTGACAGTGTGACCCAGCAAACCTTTAATAATAGCACTTTTCAGTGTTCCTTTTTCAAGGTCCTAGAGGGTAATGAGGCTTTCCTGTGACTCACTGTGATTTACCACAGCGACCTTGGCTCCAATGTGAAGGTAAATATTTACTGCTTGCCAGGGTCTGGGCAACAGATTGTTATGTAATTGACAAAAGTGATTTATGTAAAAGTGACTCAAACAGCGATGGAACTTATAGTTGATCAGGGGTGGGTCCCTCTTCAAAGCCTGGCATTTCACTGCCCTGCTTGCCCAACACTATGTAATATGGCAGGCTTTGGAAATGAGACACCCTGTGCAGCAAAACAAAAGGTGCATCCATCTGCCAGCAGCAGCCTACAACCAGCCAGAAACACCTGGAGGGTGACACCCCCTGGACATTAACCACATGATCAAGTGGCCCTTGGAGAAATACTTAGTTCACAGGTTTTCTACTTTCTTCTCAGCCAACAAGGGCTGGTCTGGGGAATCTCATCCCAGCCTTGCCTCACCTCTTCAGGGCACTTAAGGAGGGTGGGCAGTCCAACAGGACTCCCCCGCTGCCTTGGTCTCAGTCACTAGCCTGTGGAACGTCAAGAGTTCCATGGATTACAGGCAAATTGTACTTGGAAAGGCTTGGCCCTGGGGGGGAAAAAAAACCACAAGGCTGTCAGACACATGCACTCTGGCATCTGATAACACTGGGGCACCTTGAGCAGGATAAGGACGTGGTGGGAGCTCCGGTTCTGGTTGTTCTGGTAAAGGTAGGAGGAGAGATTTGGATCAGAGTACACAGCAGCCCTGTGGACCAGGTGTTTGGAAGGAGCTATTCCTGATTTCTGTCCCCCACACTTGTAGCCTGTCTTATAGCTCGATCTGTCAACTCCTTCAGGATGTACTTAGGACCTGCAGTTTTCTTACCCTCTTCACTACCACCTTCAACCAAGGACTGTCCCCCACCCCCTAAAAGGTCTGCTTCTCCATTCCCTCCAGCCTGTTGCCATCGTAGACCCAGTCCATATTGGCTACAAACTGCATGACTTCACATGTTGGTGCCAGCTAGCTTGTTGCACCTCATCTCCCTCTGGCCACCAGTGAAATGATACTTGCCCACTCTGGGGCTTTCACAGTCACTACTCCCTCGCCCACTCAGTTTCTGCCCCTTTAGATACCTCCCTAAATGGCTGGCCTGAAGCAGCAGCACCTACTCATTCCTTCAATACTATCATGTCACCCTGATTGGGTCTCTTTGCAACACGTGTTGCCCAAATCACTGCTTATTTTGATCACTGCCAGAATATGAAGAGCCGGAAGAGAACTTGGACACCATCTAGTCCTACAGAGCCGAGTTTCAGGTTGGTGAGGATGACTAAGGCAAAACCAGTCACAACTGGAGACGCACCTTTCTCATCAGCTTTTCCCCTCTTTCATCAGATTTTTAAAAGTAACATGTCTATACTGTAAAGGTAAAAAGCTTTACAATAAAAATGAAATTCCCTACCCTTTCCCACTCCTTTGAGGAAACACTTCTAAGCTTTTTAACTATTGCATTTGGTATTTGTCTCCATATTGTTGGTTATTTATACTATTTCTTGACATTTTAAATCATGTCTTGCCTTTGTACCCCCAAAGCAGGTGAGCATAGGAATTTAAAGCAGAGGCTCTAGAACCAACTTGCCTGGGTTTGGAAGCCTGGCTCTACCAGTTTTTAACTGTGACTGTAGGCAAACCACTTTATGTTTCTGTACCTAGGCTTCCACAACTGTACAAGGACTAACATCAACTGGCTTCAGAGGGCTGTTGTGATGGCTGCATGTCCTGAAACACATGGGCATCCTGTGCATGTGGTAAGCCTGTGTTCCCAGTCTGCAGAGTAACAACTGCTGTAGAAGTGGTCTATGGCCCCAACACATGTGTTGTCCCTGCCCCATATTCCTCCAACAGACTCGCATCATGATTTGGGTCAAATTCACATTCAGCATTAGAACTATATAAACACTGCTGCTCTCAGATAAGGCACATAGTATACTAGGATTTTATTTCTTTCTTGGACAATGTTTTGTTTTTCTTGGAAAATCAGCTTCACCTTTTTTTGCCCCTGCTCTTCACTCAAGTTTCTCTGACAATAATTCAGCCTCACATTTTCTGAAAGCACTATAAGAATCCTTTCAGCCTTGACTACCCATTGGTTTCATTTTTCCCTGGAGACTTGACTCCTGGAAGCTGTCCTGTTTCGGCCTGGATATTGCTGCCACTGGGGATGTCCCTGGCCAACTGAGGTTTCCCTGAGCCCTGTCCCTGGGTCCCATGGCCTCCTCTTGGTTGACTCTCTTCATTTCACTGAAGCTTATTCTTTCACACCCTTCATTAACAGTATGGTTGGGTAGAGAATTCTAGAAATAATTAACTTAAGAACTTTAAAGGGAGTTTCTTCTTTGCCTTCTAATTCCTCAAGTTCTTGCTGAGAAGTTCAGTGATACTGGGATCCAGTTCTTTGTACAGGACTCAAGCTTTTCTCTCTGGATACTCAAGCCTTTCTCCCTTGGATTCCGAGATTCTTAAATGATGTACCTTCATGTATTTTTTTTTCTTTTCATTCATTGTGCCAGAAATTTCCATCTGAAAACTCATTATCTTGGATGGTGGGGAATTTTCTTCCCTAGCCTTCCTTCTTGTTCTTTTTCTGGATCTCTAGTACTCAGATGTTACATATCTGGATTCATCTTCCAGTGTACTATTTATATTCTACTATATCTTCCAATTCTTCTCAATTTTTAAATATTTTGTCATATTTATTTATGAGGTCTTTTTCTTGTTCTCATTTCATTAGCATCCTGTTTGTCCACAGCATGGTATGATCTCTCATCATCGTTGGGAAGATGTTATCATGAGTTTAGTTGTTCTTTAAGTTTTCATCTTTGCATGTGGTGCCTCTGTTTCTCCTCAACTCCTCTTTGTTCTGTGTTTCTTTAAAAACATTTCTAAAAGGTCTTAGTAACCCTTGCCTGACCTTTTATACTGAAAAGTGAGACACACCATATAGGAAACTGAAGCTTTGTGGGAGGGCAGCGAGGGAGCCTGCTGGTTGGCAGGCCTTGTGTGGGGGTTCTGGGGACAGGTTTTGAGGGGTTCCCAGATAACAAAACCTGTAGATATGTATACTTTGCATTGATCTGCATTTTCAGGGAGCCCCCTCACTCCCACCCTCTGCTGGGCCTGGAGTTCCCAATAATAAGCTTCACACTCAGCCTCTCTGGACAGTAATCCCCACCTGTCTTCTGCTAGACAGAGAGGGATAGGTCTCTCCGCCCTGTACACATTCAGCTTCTTCCTCACCAGCCCCTGTTGTCCTTACACACCTATGGCTCACAGGTCCAGAGCTTCTCTGGCATTCAGGGCACCAGTTGTCAAGCTTCTTGCCAACTTCTGACCATTTAGGGATGTGGATTTCTGGTTTCTCCGGGCTGCTAAGTCAGTAACCATTCATTTCTGTTTTCTGTCTTCTAGAGCTCTGCTGTCCTCTTCTATCTTTTGCTTTTCTGGGTCATTAGATTGGCATTTAGGGCATTATCAGGGATAAAGGAACCTGCTCCTCCTGAGTCTACTTCTTAGGGAGCCCTCCACTCTAACACCCAGGCCTTCCATAGAGCCCTCACCCCCTTTGTCTTTCTAGAGGCCTGATATGAAATGGAGGAGGTGGTGGTTCAAGAGCTGCCTGCTTAGAGGGATGATGGGAAAAGTTTATGAGGGTACAGTTGACTTGAGTGTCTTTTAGGTTGCCAAGAGAAAGCTGGTTAGGTAGCAATTGTGGGTACTAGAGGGGGATAAAGATGGCTGAAGGGTCACGCAGAAGGTGGGGGACAGAGAGAGCATGAGGAACAGGAAGAGTATGCTTGCAGAAGGGGACTCACCTCTGCCAGGCACAAACAGAAAGGAAAAAAATAGGCAGCAATTCCAGGAAAAGAAAACCTTGGTGGTGAGTACAGAGTACACAAGGAATGAGACCTCCCTCTGGAAGGTCAAAGGGAGGCAGACTGCCTCATAAACAGGTAGCTTCAAACAAACATGGAACAGGGACTGAGTGGGTGAGTCTGCTGAGAGCATGGTACAGGGGACCTGCCACAGCAAGGATGTTTGTGCTGGGTTGTCTGGCCTTTCCCTAAAATAAGGTGCTGTGTTGTCCTTTTGGGATGGGCAGGGGTGCTGCCAGGGTAAGGACTTGTACATGGAAAGAGGTTTAGAACCATCTTATGGGAAAAAGCCTGAGCTTTGGCATAAGAGTTCCAGGACAGAGCAGGTTCTCAGCAAAGAATGCTTGTTTTCATTACTAAGGGATTCAACTGCAAAGCAGAAAAGAAATATTTCATCCAAGAGTAACAGCAGGCTTAGGGAGAGCTCAGGTAGAAGGACAAGTAGTGATCAGAGAGACCTGTGCAAGATGGCATTTCCCAGGGAAGCTTATGACCAGGTTCAAGGGCAGTGGTGCTGAAGGGTCCTCTGGGGACCCTTGAACAGCTATGTTGAGCTTAATCTGAGT